TGTAGAGGCCAATCACTGAGTTGTGTGATTCTGTTAGTTTTTTCCTCATCCTCTATTCTGTAAGGAATTATAATGTGATCCTCGGGCAAAAGCCCTTTGTATTTCATTCTACACAACATATTGTTTTTTCCGGAATTTTTATTTTTCTTTTATTTCTTTTTGCGTTGGGGCTGCCCGACCGGGTGTCCGGGCGTGTACCCAGGCAGAAGTTAAGTGCCCGGGCACCCGGGAAGACAGCCTAGCCAAATTGCCCTTTTCGAAGCTGGAGGGATACTCCTAATCTGCATCCTGACTGGTCCCAAACTTTTACTGCCACATTTCTTGTTTGCTTTTTTTTTTTTATATAACAAAATCACTTTATTTTTGAAAAGGAGGCCTGGGGCAAGGTTTAGTTGTTGGGATTGTGACATTGACAGTGGGGTTAAATCTAGTGGTGTCCTCTGTGTTTGGCTGATGATGCCTTACCCACTGAGGGCCCCACATAACTTTGTAAAGGACGCCGGGCCCCGGCTTTTATAAAGACATTGTTCATTTGTGAAAAAAAAAAAAAAAAGCAAGGTCCCACTTGCGCAAATTAGGAGATTTTGGCAGGGATAATCGGTAGAAGGCGCCCACGCCAAAACCTTTTCTGCTTTGGGCGCCCAAAGTTTAGCCTTTTGGTACTACCGGCCCAATGACTTGCATGTGGGGTACTACAGGCCCACACGTCTCTCCAAGGGCCCAACCGGATCATGAATCTGACACATAACAGAGCCAGATCATTTTCATGTAAAAGAGGCCGGGGGTGGTAACGTTGAAGTATCGAATAACTGCAAGTACATATAAAGCCATTGAACCTGCCCACCCTGACACAAGAGCAGTATGCATAAAATGGACAGCTATTAAAAGACCAGGAACATTTAATACAACTGTTGTTGTTTTGATGTAAGTCGGGTCACTCTCTTTGAAAGAATTTTTCCTTGTTCACTTAAAAATCGACGAAGTAAATCTAGATTTTTATAATCTATTTTTTCTCCTGGCTCATTAAATCAAATCGTAAGGATCGGAATTAAAAGGATCATTTGCAACTACTGAGATTTCAGGTAATAAGTCTACTAATGCTCTTACAGTTGTAGATTTACCAGTTCCTCTATCTCCCATAACCATAACTCCACCTATTTTTGGATCGAAGTGATTTAGCTAAATACGATGCGGACCCGCCTAAGCTATTTTGAAAAAGAAAGGCCCTACCGGTTCATGAATCTGGCGCAGAAACAGAACAAATTCTTTAACCGGTGAAAACAGGCCCAGGGAGATGTGGCCACGTCGCCAAGGCCCCTTTCACCCAGGGGAAAGCTGTTTGGGCCGGTAGTACCAAACGGCCCAACTTTGGGCGGCCAAAACAGAAATGGTTTTGGCATGGGCTGTGTCTACCAAATATCCCGATTTTGGCCGTTGATCTCTGCTATTTATGGTCAGTATCTCCTTTTTTTTTTTTTTTTGGGAGTATCTCTTAATTCGTGCAAGTGGGACCTAGTGGGACCTAGCCTCGGGGATCCCTCCACAAACAACCCTGAAACAATTACTGGGACCATTACCTAGCTTAGGTTCAGACGTTGGGACAAATCAGCGGCTTCCTTTTTTTTTTTTAACCAAAACAAAATAACTTTCATTATTGAAAAGGAGGCCACGAATCCCTCCACAAACAACCCCGAAACAAATACTGGGACCATTACCCAACTTAGGTCAGGCGTGGGGACAAGTCCAGCGCCACAAATGGCCATCACACGACCTATGCCCTGACAGCTACCCAACACTGGGATATAAAAATAAAAAAGCCACAAGGCCTGAAAAGCCACACAAAAACACAAGAAGCATTACTTCCAGGAGTGACCCAGCTTAGGTCAGGCGTGGGGACAAATCGAGCGGCACAAATGGCCATCATACGACCTATGCCCTGACAGCTACCCGACACTGGGATATAACAATCATATAGCCACAAGGGTTGAAAAGCCACCGAAACCACAAGACACATTACTTCCAGGAGTGAGTGCGGAGAGGCTACACTCCTGAAAATTGCCATTTCGGGAGTGTTGTGGCGAGGCCCATTATCACATTACAGTAGGCACCGGCGTGCAATTGCAAACTGTATCTTGGCCCATATTGGTGACTCGCGCCTAGTTACCCCATTTGGAAAGTGCTAGCGTTGAGTACGCCCGGATACACAGGAAACGGGAACCTTTTCTACACGGCCCCATAGGGGGGGACCCTAACTCTTTTATACGGCCCCAAGTTCAACGGGGAGGTCGCATTCAGATTCAGACCGAGTTTCCCCCTCTTTATACGGAAACCTGTACTGCATACCATCTGTTCCGTGCCAAAATCATAATGTACTACATATCCAAACAGAAATATAAATAGATTTGTATAAACAAGTTAGAGTCAATGAATATCCGACGAAACAGTCTGTCACGTCCCTTCGTTTGTTGCCCTCTTCTCCCTCTTTACCTCAGCTTACGGGGCAGTTCTAATATATATATATATGAATATATATATACATGTTTGAGTCCATGAGCTCCGATAGTCTGTCACAGCCCCTCGTTTGTTGTCCTTCTCTATAAATATACGTGTATATAAATACAGTTATGGTAGATAGCCGTTCCGGAAGAGTCGGTTCCCGTTCTCCCTTTCCTTCTTGTCCATTTGCAAAGAAAGCTACTCGAGGAAAATCAAATCGACAGTGGCCGTACTTAAAGACTTACGCGAGGAGAGGCGATGGAGAAGGGGAGGAGCACTACGGTAGCGATGAAGCACATATTAAGTAGACCCAAGCACCTATCCGACATCGGCAACAGTTGGATTCGTCCATTTATCCATGCACGTTGGATTCATCCATCCATCCATGCATACATCCATGCATCCATGCATCGAAGACGGACGTAATTGGAAGCGCACAATTTTACTCTCCTGGTCTCTACAGAGGCCAAGTAAGTACGGGCGTACCGTCGGCAGTATCGTTGAGCAGCCAAAGGCTGTAATTCTTGAATCCTCTAATTTTTTCTTGTAATCCGAAAAAGAAGTTCACGTGATAGGTCACGGGATCCCCTCCTCCTACAGCTAACCATTTCGCCTTGTCCTCCGGATGTCGTAGGGTATATCCTCCAGGGAACAACTTGCCAGGGAGTATTCTGAACTTAATCTCTGTTTCTCCTCGCACATCATCCAGGGCTTGGTTGAATGGAGGCTGATTGACGGAATGGTCGGACTCCTGGAACCGATCGATCCATCGCCGAAGAATCTTCTGCGCTACTTCCGTCGGTCGAAAATACAGAAGACAAGAGCACACGTTCAGAAAGTCTGGACGTTTCGGAAACTCCTCTCTTCCATTGAAATAATGCAAATTGACACCCGCATCCCACGTTCCAGCCCCATCTAGACCCCTCCTTTCTCCTCCTCCCCCTCCTCCTCCTCCTCCCCCTACTCCTAATTCAACTCCTCCTCCTCCTCCTCCTCCTCCTGCTACTGCTCGTCTTTCGACGGTTGTGAAGTTCTCCATGAGATATGGAAGAGGGTTCTTCATGAACACCATATCGATATCGCTGTACAGCACAGAATAGCCGTGACGCAAGCACGCGAGAATCTGCAACGGCCGTCTGCCCACCAGTTTGCCATAGTCTTTCTTGCGGAACCAGAAAGCGGGCTCCGCCTCATTCTCCACCTGGATGACTTTTCGTCCGCTCTTTTCTACATCGGGATCGCACAGAAGCACGACATGTCCGGGCCAGTGTTCCTCCACATACCGCCACGAGTCGACGTCGTCGGCGAAGACCAACACTCGGCCCGCTAGGCCCACGTTGCGCACAGACACCAGCCAGTTTAGGAACAACGCTCGATAGCCAGCATTCACCGTGCATATGATTACCAGCTTATCAACGGCGATGCGTTCGAGATAAGGCGGCATTTCATCACCAGTAGTACACTCAAAGTTCTTCGTCCTTGGGATCTTCTTCTTCCCCTCCTCCTCCCCCTCCTCCTCCTCCTGCTGCTGCTGATGTGAACCTGGTAGAGCAGGCTCAAGGTTCTTCGTCCTTGGGACCTTGTTCCCCTCCTCCTCCTCCTGCTGCTGCTGAAGTGAGCCCGGTACAGCAGGACCAGGATCTGTTCCACTCGCCATAGGAGAGTGAGCAGCATCTGTTCCGCTCGCAACAGGAGTGCGGAGCAGGTCCAGACTCCGCTCAGTTCCTTTGGAAACAGAGACGTCGTTGAGAGCATCGCCTACCCCGCTAGAAACAGTACCCCCTTCCGCGTGAGCATCCGCCACGCCTATCCCCGGGTGACGGTCATCGGCAGCGGCGGGTCTCCTCTCTGTCGGTCCGGAAATAGGAACAGGAGGTAGGGCTCCTTCTGGGCCTCCCATCCCAGAGATCTGGCCCGGATGCTGCTGATCTCGCGGCGGCGCAGAGGAAACTGAAGCGAAACTTTTTGTTCCGCCGTGAGCAGTGCTTCGCTGATGAGCCGGCCTCCTCCATTCAATGACGTCAGCAAGAATTGGATCAGAAGCGGATGCACTGCTGGCGTTCTGCGGAATCTGCAATGGATGCTGATCATCCCTTACTTCATTTGCTTCCCCCTTCCCGGCTTTCTCGTCCTGATTGAGGCCCTTCACACCTTCTCCTGCTACCTCCACCTGAGCAGCGACGGAATCACCGCCTTCTACGTCCCTCTTGCTCCTCCCACCTCCGCCGCGGACATCAAGAGCCATCGCCGGAGGCAGACTTCGGCTATGGTCCCACACCTCTTTTCGATCCTCATCCCAACCGTCTCTCATTTTCGCCTCTTGGCAGCCTTCTGCGCCCGGAGAAGGAGGCAGTAGCTCAGCCTCTTGCCGAACCTCCTTGCCTCCAGTGCGAACCTCTTGGCCACCTCCCTCACCACCTTCCCCTCCTCCTCCTCCTCCTGTGTGTGAGATCGTCCTTTGCGACAGCCTGGATCCACTCGATCCACGTGGCTGCTGACGATTAGCCGGTCCATCAGCCCCCTCTCCCACTTCCTCCGCCTGTTCTCCGCTCATGCCCCCGCCCCCCCCCCTCTCCTCTTCGTTGCCGATTCCACTTGGATAACTCGCTGCTCCCTTCAAACTCAACACCACTCTCGACAGTCCTCCACCTTCCTTGCCCGTCACGGGGATTTTGGCGGGAAATCGTATACTCAACTCTACCGCGCTCAACAGGACAATTCCCAGCAGCAGGCACATCACTCCGCGGTACTTCGTCCGATGTATGACCACCACCTTCATCCCCCCTCCATTCGGGAAAAGCTTAACTAACATTGGATCTTCCGATCGGCTCATGCCGCAGCGCTAACAACTGGTTAACAACTGCTTTCCGTCGATGGACGCCTGGCTGGCCGTCAAGCATATAAGGACGGGCCTTAATGGGCAGAGGCGAGATGGAGAGAACCCGACTCGTGCACGGAAGTGAAGGAACCGAGATAGAAAATGACGACGAGTGTTAGGCCCACGACGTAGAGAGTAGCCAGCCACACGCAATGTATCCCCTCGCTACCTCCCCTTCCTCCTCCTCCTTCGCCGCCGCCGCCACCGCCTCTGCCTCTGCCTCTTCCTCCTCTCTCTCGTCCACTTGTCTCCTACCTCGTCCGACGCAAGGCAATGCGAGCTCGACATGAGCAGCAGGGAGAATGCCGTTGACCACTGGTCGACCTGCCGGCAGTTTCGCTATTGACAAGACATCGACCCTCTCCCACAGCGCTGCTGGCCGCTTTTCCTTCCTCCCCCTCCTCCTTCTGATCCCCTCCTACTGCCCCGTTCCCCTCTTCCCCGCCCTTCGCTGCGACGGCAGAGAGTAACCACTCAGTCTACACCCCTCTACTCTACCGAGCCTCTGTCTGTATCAACGGCCCTTAACTTCCTCAACGCTCTGCTCGTAACTTTTCGTTTCGTTCTCGGCGATTGCTCTACCACGCTTCTCTTCCATTATAACGACTAAATTTCCCTCCCCGAGCCAGACGCTCCCATAGCCTCCACGGCTGCAGACACAACCGATACTCTACAGCGACAAGCTGACGAGCTTGTATTTCTTCCACAAAGACATCCCATCTAGACCTACTGACCTGTCGTGTGTCAATCGCTCTCGCTGTCGATCGACCGACTAGATGAGATCTTGACTGATCTCTGCGCTGCGCGAATTGGCGGGCAAGTCCCTCCCTCGGCCATTGACTGCGCGCGCGAGTTTCTACAGCTGGTGGTTGACGGTTCTGGAGGGTTGGACGTCTGACGGCCGAAGGAGACTGTCAAATGTCCAGAATCGAACCACTACAACAACTTGGTCACATCGCCCGCTACTCTCGACATGCACGAAAGACAAAATTCATGCTGTTGTACCTTTCCATGTTCTCGCAGAAGAGTCACTCTTGCACTTTTATATATATATCGTCACAAACAGAACTGCCCGGTAAACCGTAGGCAGAGAGAGAGAAGAGGACAACAAACGAGGGGCTGTGACAAACTGTTTCGTCGGAGTTTCACCGATATATATATATATATATATATATATATATATATATATATATATATATTGCACATTTCAAGAGAACTGGAGCTACCAGCCTCTTGGTCGGAGATTTTTAAACGGTTGCACATTCGTGAACTTTTCTCTTATGCGCGGGGTCTATGCAAACGACAAAAGCGAAAGGACACAATGCCGACGAAGCATTGAAATTTCGTCTGTAGTGACACAGGTGGAATGACTGCCTGAAACCCCTCCCCACCCGTGAACGAATTTTTATTTTTATTTTCAAATACCCGCGAGCCAATTGGACTCAGGGATTTGGACTTGTCCGCCGAGGGATGCAGATACTCGAACTTGCTCAACTGGTCTGCATCTGGGGGTACTGCAAGTCTAGATTCAGCCGGGTAATCCGAACCTCGAAACACATTCTCTTTCATTTCATTCAAAAGTTTGAAACGAGGCCGGGGACCTCACAACTCAGGGCCTAGTTGCACTACTCTCCATAGGCCAAGTTTGGCGAGTAGGTGCCTGGTTGCACTTACTCGCCAAACTTGACGAATGCAAAATGTGTCAGACGGCTCGGCACACCGTCGACACAAGTTGCGGAGAGTGAATTCGGTTTCCCGGCCTGTGCACGGCGGTTTGTGGAGAGTGGTCGTCGGACCTTTCCACAAAACAGCTTTCTGGAGAGTGCAAACAGCTTTCTGGAGAGTGCAGGGCTTCACGAGTAGACATCAGGTAGACAAAAAAAAATAACTTCCTTGTAGAAGAAATATAATGGCGAGTAAGTGCAACAACCAGGACTCGAGTTTCGACGCCATTCTCAGTTTTTTCAGGGCCTCTTTCCACTACTCGCCATCGGCCACAAACAGTGGCCGGACTTGGCGAGGCCTAAAACTGCATTTTTCTGGCGGAAAAAGGGTCTTGGTTCCATTACATCGCCGCAGCCACGTGCGCTGTGGTTGCTGTCCCGGCCTGCTCCCCGGACTGTGGTGGATGGCGAGCTAATGGAACGGTGGCCGCCTTCTCTTCACCATGTACTCGGACTGGAAATCACTCCAGGTGCAGCTAAAACTTGCCAACACTAGGGGACAACGCAGGTCGACTGTCAGGATGGCTGTGTCAGGGGCAATCGCCACACGAAGCATTTCGCGGAGGGGTGAGGAGTAGAGGCTCCACGAAGGGCCGTTGCAGGCAGGGGAAATGGAAAGCCTTGGCGGCACATCGCCAAGTGATTTCACACCCAAATTCTGACAGCCTCCATTTCGTGGCTATTGGCGATGCAGTGGAACCAAGTCGCGTCCGCCATGCGTGGAGGATGGCGAG